AAATCAAATGGTTCGCGCCATTCCGTTTGGGAAGCTTCAGAAAATATGGGCTGTGATTTGAGGTGATGCTATTTTTCTGCTGTGTTAAGTCTCTCTAGCTGATGTGGATATACTTTATAGCGATTCCTTCTCCCGCAACGTCGCATTAAATTGTGTAATGTTTGTGCCTGAAAATTCCAACCGGATGGTTTTTGTAAATGGTAAGCACCCCTTAACTACGTTTCTAAACAATGCTGCCAATTTTGAAAGGAATCGTTTTTGGTAGCGTGCTAGAATGGATGAGTGCGAAATATGTTTTCACAACTTTTTTATTAGTAATTTGCCGTCATTTCTGAATCAAGTTATTGTCATGTTTAACAGATCGGCAAAATTATCACACAGGATACACGAATGATAAAAATACTAAATTAATAATGTCAATATCGATAAATACAACGACTAAATTTCAGTTGTCAAGACCATGCAAATGGACTTTTTTTCTGTTGCTTCAAATTCATATCGAGTAAAACTTTGTACCCTTCATTGCTTCAAGGAGGCTAAGGAGTCACTAAAAGAGAGATAAAATAAACGATGTTTCGTAACAATTTTAGACTATCTGTTTGTTGAATCATTCTAAATGGCAAACTACGCTAAAATAAGAGTATGGTTAGGGTTTAAAGGTGCTACGTCACGGTTTGCACATCTTGAAAACTTTAGCCCAAATGTTTCATATTCGTCGTTTGTAATCCGTGTCAATCTTCTCCATCCTAAACCATCCTTGTTCCTTTATGGTTTATTATTATTATCTCTTTAGTGTTTTTCTGTTTAAGTTAACTATTATTGTTAGGTTTCCTTCAATTTGAAGGTAATTATCTGAATAGCCAAAATAACTCAAAACACCGTGACTGCTCCTTCACTATTAGCTGGCAAATGGTCAAAATTATAACGTCAGTTGAAAAAGGGCGTGTTTTTGACAGTTGCTAAGATCTGCAAAATTTATTAATAGGGATGTCTCTCTAACTGATACAGTAAAAACCCATGTGTACAAACCTAGTGGTTTAAGAACCCGCTGGCAGAAATTTGCCATTTTAATACCCAAAAATATAAGCACCTGTTTAGCCAAGCAATTCTGATACACATTTTAACGGAGGAGTGTGACTTAGAGATTGCAAATTTATATCACAGGAAAATACATTGTACAGTTGTGACTAATTACACTATATTTGAGGACCGAATTCACGTTTGTTTATTTTTTTTCTTGAAATCAACAACTAGATTGCCTTCATAGAAATTAAGAACCTAGCTAAGAACCTACTTAGCCTAAATTGCCAATAACTACAACCTATTTCACCAGACTTCAAAAAATGTAGGTTCTCACACACAGGTTTTTACTGTAGTGGGTAAATCACCAAATCTTTTACTGGTAACTGAGGTTCTTGTACCACATCCAGACCTTCTAAGATTATCACATCAGAAAATCATAGTTCCCAAACAGGTATTAATAAATATGACAAAAACGAAATAAATTAATAAATAGTCAAACAGTTGTTTAGGTAAACTACCCTCTCACTACCTAGTTAAAAATAAAAATTCTCCTTCCTAGCAGTCAAGTTTCTTAAATGTGAGTTACGAGAATCTGTCGGTAGATCAAGAAAATGATGACAAAACAGATGTTGTTGTTATTAAAAGAAAAAAAGAGAACGTGACAGGCGTAAAATCTGGTACACTGATGACAAGTAAATCAATAAATATGATTTAGTGCCCACTTTCCAGTATGTGCCCCTTTGATTTAATGCCGGCCATTTGATAGTGTTTTATAACAAACACCCATATTGTAATAGCTACCTCACCCTAATACATGTAAATGACCCTGTTCTAAAATAAGGCACTTTCTAATACACGTAAATCTTGCATTTTTGTTTTCCGGCGTAATTACTTTTGTCTAGATAATATAGTATGTACAGAATGAACTATTTCAGTTCCTGGTTTGTAGTTTGGACGCAAAGAAAAATTAATAATCTCAATAATAACTGCCCAATTCCTAAAGAAGCAGCCTTTCTACAATAAAGCTTCATCCCTTGAGGTGGCAAAATTTAACAAGTATCATGGCCACTAGGTTTGAATTTCTCCATTTTTCTAAGTTTCTCCCTGAGAAGAGAGTTTCGGGGGAGGGGGGACGGGGGATGCAGGCTTCACTCCTGAACAGTGGCTGGTAATCGAGCCTACATGGACACTGAATCATTTTTTTTTTACAGTAAAACATAGCAGGAAGAACTAGTGTGTTAAACAAGCAAAAGTACTCCAACCTTACGGCTATAAGTCACATAAGGGTAATGAACCCCTTTTTAAAATCTAAGAGCTATATGTCAAACAGGCAAAAAAACAAAACCCTCAAGTTCTATCTTTTTCAAAAATTTGTGTAGACTGTATTGTTAAATATTTGTGAACTTGTTTTGAGCTAAAAGCATGTTCAACTTTCAAGTTTTCAAGTTAGAATAAATTAGGGGTCTTGCTGTTGCTTGGAGAAGATCATTATCTCTCCTAAATCATAGGCAGTCACACCAAATGAGTTGCCTGACAGGTCAACAAATCTTGCTCCACACAGCTGAGCATCTGTAATGGCTTGCTGAAAGACCATCTCCATCTGAACAATAAAGAAAGCAACGATATAAAAGACTTGTAACAGCCACTCTTGGCCTCAGAAGACTAAAAGACTACAGCTCTCTCACATTAAATCCCACATGTAGCTGTACCCACTTTTTCTTGGGGTTGTGGTGGGGTGGAGTGTGGTGGGTGAGTGACAGATGTGGCTGGGTATGGTTACACAAAAGCTATGACTAAAAAGACTCAGGAAGCATTATAAATATTCATTTTAATAATTAATAATATTTATCTATTAATAATATCAAAGTTCTCAACTTATCACTAAGACCTGGGTGCTGAAAATTACCAGACAGCAGTTGGCTGTCTCCCCCCCCTCCACCAGCCCACCACTCTCCACATTACTTAAATTTTGCCAGAGTACGTATGATAAGAAACCTATGATAACTGAACATTGACTAACATACCATAGGATGCTCATTGACTGAAAGTTTCCAAACTCTGACGAAAGAGTCTTCAGATGCAGAGATCAGCTGCAAATTAAAGTTGAAAAACTTGACATATGCTACACAAAAAAAACAATTATTGTGATTCAATGTAAATTAAAATCCTTAACTCTTAAGTGATTGACGAATCCTCTTGCTGAAGAATCAAATGTTCACAAATATTCGGTAAAATTTATATTTTCAAGTACTTAAATACCAGCAATAATGTACATACTTTGGTAAAACATACTATCTAAATCAATGGACAGGACAAAAAAAAAGATACTAAATAAATAAGTCTGACAGACATTTGTCACAGCATTCTGAGTGTTGTGTTGCAGCATTCAAAATTACTTTTGTCGCTGCATTCAGAGTGTTTTGTAACTGAGTTATGATTACTAGGTTAAGCCTGGTGTTTTCAACTCTTTTAAATTAATTTATTGTAGATAGACCATTAATTTCCTAACTGTTATTTTTTTCAATTGGTTTGTCACTTTGGTACTGAAGACTATCTTCATGGCTGGATCATTCAACTTCATTCATTAAAGCTAATTACTGCTCATAATTATTTCATCTTTAGACTCAAAATTAGTTTTGTCAATTGAAAATTAAGGGGTGATTCCAAATTTTCTTTCAAAAATATTTTTGTTAATGAAGACTGTCATCATTCTGTTCACAGGCAAGTGCACTGGAGCAAAGAGTGCCACGTGCTGCTAGACAAATCTGGAGTGGGAACAAATGAAACATCTGCAGACTGCTTATCTCTAAATAAGTCCCGATCCCAAAGACCATCCACCCACCCAAGCCCTTGCAATTGTTCTCACTCAATACACCATTGTTTTATTTTGCTCTCACAAATATCACAAGCCAGAGGGTAAAAATATTTTCATGGCTGGTTTATTTATTTTAACGCTGTTTTGTCTTTAGCCTCAGAATTATTTTTCTGCAATCAATGTTGCTGGGTCATTCTGTCTTGGGTTTTTTTTTTTAATTATAATTATCATTTTTGACCATGAATCCTGAGCAATCTGCTCAGAGGCAAGTACCCAAGAGTGAGCTCAAAGCATAGGGCACTACTGTTAGACAGACCTGGAATGGGGAAAAAATTTAACATCTGCAGACTTCCTTCTAAATAAGGCCCCTTCCCCAATGCCAAACAACCACCCCCTTGCAAGTCAATACCCCACTGTTTTATTTTGCTCACATGACATAATGATCTTAATTAAGAAGCAGTACACTGTACATTTGACTGTCTTGGAACAGGCTAAGTATAGGGCTGTTTTGCTGCCAAGTGTTACTGATAAGTAGTTTTTCCTTGGGGAAAAACTATTTTTATTGCTAAACAATTCAGTGTTGCTGTTTTCAAATATTATTTTCAGAACCAGGTTCAAGTGCTTTATGATCTTTATAAAATGTTTTTTTTGTTGTCAAAGCTTAGCTGGACCATGCATTCTGAATTCTGTTGTCACTTGTTCAAAATTACCTCACCGATGAAGCATGCATTCAGACTGCACTTTTTCAAAATTATTTTTGTCACCAATTAAGTCCAAATTCTTTTATTTTTCATTCAAAAATTATTTTTAAAATATGCATTGCCAGAGCATTTAGACTCTTTCCCCACTGGGTTCAGATGTGTTTTAAGGAGCTGGATGTACGCTGTTTCTTAATATCAACATTTGCCCTCCAATTCTATAGNTATTATTTTCAGAACCAGGTTCAAGTGCTTTACGATCTTTATAAAATGTCTTTTTTTTGTTAAAGCTTAGCTGGACCATGCATTCTGAATTCTGTTGTTACTTGTTCAAAATTACCTCACCGATGAAGCATGCATTCAGACTGCAATTTTTCAAAATTATTTTTGTCACCAATAAATTATTAAGTGCAAATTCTTTTATTTTTCATTCAAAAATTATTTTTAAAATATGCATTGCCAGAGCATTCAGACTCTTTCCCCACTGGATTCAGATGTGTTTTAAGGAGCTGGATGTACGCTGTTTCTTAATATCAACCTTTGCCCTCCAATTCTACAGTACTTGGTCCCAAGAAGAAAATATCATCAGGAATTTGTCTTACCAGCCCTGCCTCAAGACAGATATCCATTGCACTAATCCACCGCGCATGAGCACAAGCCTCAATACACATTGCACCAGATGAAGCACTGAACACCCTAATGTGGCCTGTGGCAAAGCCACCAATTATGAGGTCTTTATAAAAGCACAGAGATGAACAGGGAAAACTAGTAGAAAGAACAATTACATGTGAGAACATTTACTAATTAAATACATGTAGCATCAACTTTCTTAGTCTAGTAATGTAAATAAGGCAACAACTAGTGAGATAGAAGACTATTTGAAATCACCTTTCATGGAGCCCTCGATTTTTTGACCCTTCTCATTTAATTGTCAGGAGCAATTTATTGCTTTTTGGGTGGAACAATTCTATGGTACACATAAGATCAGGTAACAAACCTTAAAAGAAGTACTTGTCTAACAATATTAAATGTGACTCACTGACAGAATTCACTTTCAACTGATTGATTCAAAAATTACCCCTCCACCCCACAAAAAAACTCCTTACAAAAAGAATGTACATTATACACACACATCATTACTTTGACAAAAATTTAGGGCAACCTTTCACCTTTATTCTCATGTGACTACAAGGAGATCAAGCCAGACATTAATCATGAATATTATGCCAGTCAAGTTTTGGATTGAGTATCACTGATATTTGAAATAAAAAGTTAGGTTTGAAACAGAGAAACCAATGCTTTCAAATTTCCATTTATTTAATTAAAACATGTGTACTCTATTATTGGGAGGAATGCTTGATGAATTAAACTGTTAACAAATGAGATCTTGAATTTTATGGTTAAAATAGAATTTAATTAGATTTACAACAATCCTCCAGGTGTATTCTTAGTTTTCTGTTTTGTCTAGAATTTTGCTGTTTTTTAGTTAAAAATACTTACCCTTTCCCATCTATTTTTATGACCTCTGTAAAATGTCCCCCTGATTGCCATAGTGTTATGTTCCCCTCCTCATCTGAAGACAACATTCGCCCACCTTGAGCCTCGAGCTCACAAATCGCTACCTTGTGTGAATTCAGTGTCTCCTGTAGCTTAACAGCTGTCCCACGTGGAGGAATATCAAACACCATAATACCTCCTTCAGATGTACCTAAAAATAATGATTTAACATTAACATTGAGTACAGGTCAATCTGCATGAAATGACTCTTACTAGAGGAGTATTTCTACTCCTCCCTGGATGGGACACTCGTCCATCGAAGGGAAACCTGAAACCCAAGATAAGCGCCTGCCTGATACGTCACCTAGCTTGTATGCAGACGCTGCCCACTAAATTTGACTTATTCATTTTAGTTGTTCATGGTACCCTCACAATCTTGCAATTTAAAAAGAAGTCTGCAATAAATTTATTAAAAATAAGTATATGTTGCAACAGTAAAGTCCTAATACTCTAAAGCCCTCAGACGATAATCATAAAAGAAAGCACATAAAAAAATTAAAATATCAAGTGTTCAGGGTTTTGAGTGCCCTCACTGTAACAGCTAGAGAGAATTACATGTATTCTGCATACCAACACAAATGTACTTGTCTCCAACTGCAGTAATTCCTCTTGCAAAATGCGAATAGACTGTGGATACCATAAGAATAAAATAATTAGTATGCCGCACACAAAAACATAGCCTGGCCATAAATTGGCTCCTGCCCATACTGATGGATGTAAAATCCTTGTGAATAATCAATTTTTACTGGCTATAGGTCAGTGGCTCTTTTGATCTTCCAGACGAGCTCTGCTCAGCAGAAATTTCCAGAGCATGATTAAGAAATACAACAGAATTGCGAATTGAGGAAGGATTATATTCTGACCAATAACCAGACAACGCTGTGTAACAAATCACCAGTAAAGATATATGTTAAGTATTTAATGCTAACTTGTAAACAAAGTTGTTTTGCTTGATATCTGTATGACTAGAAGAGAAAAATGTCTTGTCTAGACCTGCCCAGTAGAGTTCTAAAGTAAGAATTTCAAATTTTTTGATTTCACAGAAAAAACAATCCAGGAAAGAACTCAAAGCTTTAATGCCTTTATTATTTCGTAACAGGAATTATATAACTACACGTAGGCGGTGCACAATAATGTTGTTGACATCCTGTCCTGAAGCTAGAAAGCTTCTAAAGCCCCGTACTCTTTCAGAGAGCGTAGGAGTTCTATTTTACTTTTAATAGCTACATGTATAAAATTGTGAAGAGTGAAGCAGACTGACCTCCCTCTTTTGATTCACCAAGTGCTTGCCAAAATATCATTAAAGATCCATCAGTTTCAAACATCTAAACAACAAAAATGCACATTACTGTATAAGGCAGAGTCAATGCACATTCAATGCACATTTACAATACATGTACTTGAAAAACAAAATTGCGACCAAAAGTTTACAAGAAGGAACAAGAGCGCCGACCTGTGGGAAGCTACTCTCTCCTGACCATGTCCACCACCCAGAGAAGCTTTGCCTCTGGTCAGTTGGTCTCCAAAATAATTACAAGTCCCACAGAAGCATAAAAACCTATCTGACCATCCATTCAGACAGGTGCTATGACTTTTGTCAGTTAACCATTGCTCGATCATATTTACATTGTATTGCTCACAATATTTTTGTTACCACAATCTAGATGGATCAAAGAACAAGTGTATTAATAGCTTCTTCGAGAAAATTTGCAACCTTCCAGCACCAAAACATGTACACTGTGAATCTCAGACAAGCAACAGTAAACTACCAATAATACCAATCGGCATTATACTAATTAGCCTTCTGTATGTCAACATTTACATTTTGGTTTACACTGGAATCTTGATTTTTCAAACCAAAAAAGGAAACAAAAATTGTTTTAAAAATATCACAGAGTTTGAGAAATTGGGGGTAAAATTACAGTGTTTGACTGAGGATAGGGAATGACTTGGAGTTGTTTCTTGGTTGACCGTAGTTCAACTCCTTGGTCATACATGTTAACAGTCAACTGGTCCGCCTCCCACCAGTTGGGATTTTTAACCATGTTATGTTCATTTGCATTATTTGTTTCATCATTTGGTTTCATTGGCCTTGAAAAGCCCCATTGGGGAAGTGGTCAGTTAAGATATTTTTTCATTGTTTTTTTTTTTTTTCTGAGAAATCGGGATTCCACTGTATTATAACAACTGCTGTCAAAAATTGCTAAACTAGGGGGGCATGTTATTGAAAACATCACAAGGTATTATTTAAAATCAAAACAGATCCAAGTAAAACTCTCTACATGTACCTGTGCACCCTTGACAGATGTAATGACCAAAACAGTTCTCTCTGGAAGCTCACACCATTTTGCCTGATAAATTATATCAATATGAAGGTTAAACAGTAAATTAAAAATTATCTTTACAATGCAATAGCTTTTTTTTATATCTGAATCTCCTCCTCTCCTACCCTCCTGCTTTTGTATCTTCCATTTTAGCTTGATACTGTCTTTCCAAGCCAAAAATACCCACCTCCACCCCATGATAGGGGGGTCACTGGATCTTCCAAGAGGTGGAGAGATCACAAGCCATAATTTGTTGGGAAAGTATGACACTCGACTGTCTACAGCGGTTGGTGGAAGATTCAAACCAAAGAACTTTTCTTTGGGGTGGGAATGTGTAGTTCCAGAAATTATCCATACCTTCCCCATGGAAGGAAATTGTTCCAAGATCCCCTATTTGTCTGGAAATTCCAATTAAGCTTCATATATTTCTGTAAATTTTTTTGTTTTACAGAACCCCGCCACCCCCTGGTAATTCCAATCCCTTCTGGTGGGGGGAGTATGGATATTTTCTGGAACTGCACAATGGATATATTTCCCACCTGTACATTGTGCTACAAAAAAGTAAATAGGTAATCTGTAGGTGCGGAATGAAAATAAAATAAAAAGAATCACACAGCCAGTTTTTTGGAGTCAGCAGTAATATAGTAATTTGTCAGAGTGCTAAATTTTGGCCTGACACTCAGTCTACAATTGTACACGTACACTCGTGTACATAAACTTGTAGCATTTCAAGGAGATGCAAATAATCTACTCGTGTAAATATTACATTTTCTCTTTTCACAACCCTTTAATAAGAAGCCCTGCTCAAGGAAGCCGCTATTTATCTAGACGTCTAATTAAATTCAAATATAAAACCCCAACCCTTAACCTGAAAAACAGTCAAAATAAAAAAAATGTGGTATCCCAAGGTATAGCAAGAGGTAGACCTGCAGGATCTACACCATGCTTTAAACAAAAGCAAAACTGCTTCAAACTGAAGCTGGTTTCATTTAATCATGATGGTTGATACGACCCAACGAGTACAATTTGAGAAAATATATAACTTAAGCTTATGGCTAAAATTTCAAGATTACCTTAGCTCTAAAGGCAACTTTAAAACCCCAGCTTGAGGCGATTAAGAGCCAATTTATTTTACCTGTAACACGGCAGAACTGCTATGAGCTCCTTCTCCTTTACAAGAGACCTGTCTCTGATTCACAATAGCTCCCTTTGTAACGTTGGTGATACAAACAAATGCTTTGTGCACGACGCCATATGTGACCGACTGCTTCTCTTTCGACGATAAAACCGTGAGATTATTACACAGCGACGAAGCACTGGCTTTTAAGCCTACCGAAGTACCTTTTACAAACATTGTTACTGGCGAATAGCCTTTTGAACGAATGGTTTAAGCACAAATTAGGAATTATAGTCGCCGATAAAGTTTGCCGAGGGTGGGTAATTTGTTGAGAGCAGCTGCCAAGAGTCCGGGCGCTGCTCACGATAAATTAGTTTCCAGGCCCATCTATTGGCTGGGGATCTCCAGAGAGTTGACGGGGGAGGGGTGGGGTGAAGGTCGCAGAAGCTGAGTTATCCGGTGGATAGTGTTATCAACCCTTTGAACAACTGGGGTCAGGATTTTAAGAGAATTTCACGCGCCATCTTTCAGTTAGCTTGCTGATTTTAGAGAAACAATTTCCATGTTTACAATCAACAGTCCGTCTAACCACTTTTTCCGGCAAACACCTTACAACCCGGACTTTGTTTTGGCCGAAGAGTGATCACTATGTAGGCATCGATCACCGCATTTAAACAACCGGAACAAACCAGAACTACTACTATGGCATATACCTTAAGGTCATTCCACTGAAATAGAACCTGCACTGAGATTTCTGTCAAACTTTGCCTATTGACTGTTTATATTATAGGAACTTACATTTTAAAATAAAAATGAGGAGTCCCCATGTTCGTTTAGGAGCAACAGCACCTTGTTTGTACCCAATAAATCCTTATAATAGCACCGACGATTTACACTGAGAATTGGTCCATATTTATTTTACATAGAAAAATTTATTACTCAGTTCAAAACAACAGAAAAAAATGATAGGTCACCGTACTCGTTTTCGAGGACATGACGATTTTCCTCTATGGCGAGGTCCAGCTGTGAAGAAAAAGCCGCCATATGCGCGCGCGCTAATTACGTGTGAAATTATGCGCAGTAGGGATGCGCAGTGCAATACTGGGGAATGACCTTAATAGTCTGATTTGGTCTAAACAAAGGACACGACAGAGTACTCGGGCAGAGGCTGTTTTTTCATCGTTTTTATTCGCAATTTTGTACTGAAATGATTTTTGGAAGATAGCCCAAGTTGAAATATGATATCTGAACGAAGCTCAATACAATAATTATACAGATCTTTTGTCGAGTGCAACTGTACATACAATTCAAGGAAAACCTGTCAATGACAGCACTTGACAAATGTCCACAATTTCATGGTGGAAATTTCTTCAAATTTACAGATTTTCTGCAAAGGAAATGAGAAAAAAAAAAACAAGAAATCCGTTAGTCAACGATATGTTTTGCCCCTTTGAGAGATGCAGAGGATATAATTTGGACCCTTTTCCCCAGTTGTCAAAATCTCTCTACACGTCAGGTCGACGAGTTTCCTCTCAAACGGCTCCATCCACTGCGAGCCTTCACAGCGGTTTAAGTAGCCTCGAAGTTCGTAAGAATTTAAAGAGAAACTGTGCAAGACTTTTGCCATAAAACGCTATAAAACGAGCAGTGTTAGATTAAATCACTAGTCCATAAGCAGGTGAATAACAGTTATTAAATTCTCTTCTCATTTAGAAAAGACTGAAGGATTTCGGAAATTTGGCGGGAACGACGGAGGGAACTGGGCGTGCGCAGTGCGTTTGACCGCTGGGGACTTCGAGCCTGACTGGCTGCTACACCGATGACGTTACATCACAGACATCCGTGTAAGCCTCTGACTGGCTGATGCCCGGCTTTGGATTTTCGCGCGAAAGTAATGACCAATCAGAGAACTACATGGATTTCTTTATAGCTAAGGGCTTATCTCTGGGTTCTTCCTTTGTCTTTCACGTAACTTACCTTAAAATTTATGATATCTAAACCACCTGGCTTGCGCTTCATCGTTAAAGCGCCTTCTGGGTTGGCGCGGTCGCTGTGTTCGTGTTATGTACGCCCCAAACGTGCTGGATGATACAGCTTCTCCTATGATAGCTTCCACGCGGTCCTGCATTTCACAGACGCTCTCTTGATCAACAAATATATGAGGGAATCGATAACTGCAATGAAAAATACACACAAAAATATGTCAAAACAAAAAATGCGCAGAAAAGTACAAGTAAGGCCTTTGCACAACTGCTGCCCAAGGTTGTTATGGGTATGCTCGAAACTAGAACTCGATGAGTTTCCATTTCTAATTATCCAATCACAATACAGTGCGAGGACTTCACAGCTGTCGCGTCAGCACGTGCTATCACGGCAATGGTATACGTCAGGGTTGCCTAGCAACCATTCTAACGTAAACTGCGAAAGCATTAAATTAAAGATGGGATTTCCATCAGTTTTGAGCTGCGGCACACTTGAGAGCCAATCCCTACCAGAGCCACAGATATAGATCCAGTCCCTCGTGTAGCATCTCTAGATTCTGCAGTTGTTCAAAGGACCTGGGTACACTAGGCGGCCATTTTAAGGACGCTTTGAGCTTTGAAGATGTCATGGCGGAATCACGGCTCACGCATTCTGCAAACTGAAACGAAGGATCGGAATCAAATTGAGAATTGGAGCTCGCGAATAACAAAAAAAAAAAAAAAAAAAAAAANAAAAAACAAAATACAAAAAAAAATTATCATTTTTTGACTCGGCTTCGTAATTACAAATTAAAGGACACCACGTAATTTTCACAACAATGACGTAAGTAAAGTTTAAATGTTCAGTTTAATATGCCTAACCAAAACAAAATATACATTGTTTGACCAAAAAAAAAAAAAAAAAAATGAAAACCTTGCCTCCTAATCTACCGTGGTTCTTGTTTCAGGACAAAAACCTAAGGGTGTGACCATTCAGATGAAAGCTATTGAACAGTACTTTCATGTGGTACTGTTTACTATACTCTGCAAGGTTGTTTCAACTTTTGAATTTATGGATGAAACCCTAGTGTGACCATTCAATTGAAAGCTATTGAGCAGTACTTTCATGTGGTATTGTTTATTATGCTGTGCAAGGTTGTTTCAACTTTTCAATCTATGGATGAAACCCGTCGTGTGTGACCACTCAAACAAAAGTTACTGAGCAGTACAACGGCTGAAAAACCCTACCCTATGGGGCCGCACATACCTCTATAGCACATATAAGGGAGTACCCCCACTTTCATGTGGTATTGTTTATTATGCCGTACAAGGTGGTTCTAACTTTAAGTCTGTGGATGAAACCTTACTGTGTGACCATTCAAACGAAAGCACTAAGCAGTGCTCTCATGTTGTGCCGTTTCTCTCCTCTACTTTTCTCAAAAGAAATTTTCGAATCTTCATCCCCTGGCACTTAAACAAAGTAAATGTTCAAGGTAAGAAACTTTCCCAAACCTGGATTGCTAGGTTAATTGTCAGTGGCTTCTTTATATTGATCGGTGCTGTGCTGAACACGTACTGGTCTCTTATGGATAAGGGAATCTCTTGTAATTTTTTAGCTACATACTAAAGAAAAAAGACAACAAAAATAAGCAAGAGAGCCATGTTTGAGCAAAGGAAAGGCGCGGCTTTGCTAGTTGCATTATAAAAGCTATTGTCAGAGACAAAAAGTTCCTCCCAAGATCAAAGCATCAAAATATTCCGTTAGAGGTCGAAGCTTTTACTCACCAAACGAACGCGTGATTAAACAAACTCGTTGCAACAATCATTTCCAGCCAGTCACAACAAACTCAATGGTCGAACGAACCAATAAAACTTCGTGGCAAAATCACGTGACCGACCGGTACAAAGCGCAGGAGACGCAGCTTGGCGAAGACACAATTGGTTTGGGTTTGCTCCTTCTTAGTTGACGATTTGCTTGAAAAAAGAAACGCGCCACCTTGTCACTCAGAACTTAAAACAAAACCAATTGTGACTTGCACGAACCGTTTTCCCGCGCTTTGAGTCGGCAATATGCATTCGCTTCGAGTTTCCATTGATTCACCGGATTGGGCCACAGTGATAACTTTGGTCTTGGCTTTACGACACTCAGTGAGAAAACTGCTCTAAAAACTCCAAGTTTGCCCTAATACGTAGGTCAGAGAACATAGCACGAATCTTCGCGCCATTCACAGAGTTCTGTAAAAGCAGCTCTAAAGTAAACACAACAAGATTACTTTGGAAAATCAGTTGAAAACTGTGTAATAAAAGCTGCTTACATGTAATACAGACACAGGCAAACCTTTTGATCGTCCAAATCGCAGATGAAATAATTGGCGCCATCCAACTGAACCACACTTTCAAACACTTCCTGCAATAACAAACAAATTTCTCAATAAGGAACCACGTTGGAAAAAAGACGTTACGAAAATCCGCTGAAACTGTTACTCGAGGCCTGAAAAATGGCAATAAAACTACTTAAACAAAGGAATACTTCGAAAACATTTTTACATGTTCCGGTATTTCAACGATTCGGGTACTTCCCGACCCTATATATTAATTAAGGCCCCGCCCGCAATACGCCGGCAAAATTTGAAAACGCACCTTTTTTTCTACGGTTAGGCCTACCGTCCACACTAATCCGTCATGAAAACGGAGTTTTTTGAAACCGCTCTTCAAACCGGAGGAATTTGAAAACGCCGGCTTTGCGTTTTAGTGTGGACGGAAAACATTTGAAAAATTTCCTTGTCCGAGTTTTTCTCAACCACACATCCAAAATGGCCGGTGATTGTTGCGTCTGCAAATTCCTCCGGCGTAGTAGTGTGGACGGAGAACATTTGATGCGTTTTCAGAGTGAAACCTCCGTTTTCAAATTCCTGCGACGTCGTGTGGACGGAAAACATTTGTTCCTTTTTTAGAGTGAAACCTCCGCTTCCAAATTCCTCCGGGGTAGCGCTGAAGGGGCCTAACAATTGGTTCACGCTTTAGCGCGCATCATCGAGTAATGCTGTACGCGGAAAGCTTGGAGGGAACAAAGGAAGCGTAAGAGTTGCTAGCAGCTTCGTGGGTGCTCTTCCCTAAAGCCCTAATGTAACAAAACTCAACGATGTACAGTCACAAGCATCATCAACGGCTTTACAACATTGTTAAAGAAAAACGCGAAGCGAGGTTAACTTCGCTCACGCCATAAGCGTGCATCCTTGGATTTTATAAAATACACGAGAAACTACGCGCGCGCTCATTAGCCGTTAGGTATGTTTTAATGAGAGTATGTAAACACGGTTGGGACGTTTAAGATTCGCGCGTATTTTTGAGAAATATTTTATAAAATTAATAGAATACTCTTTTCGTGTTTCCCTGACCTCATCTAAAAACTTAGGGGGTTGGGTGAATTCTTGAAAGTTATGTAAACCCTCGACTGCGTCTCGAGTTTGCCCAATTCTCCGAACCCTCCTCGAGTTTAGATGAGGCCATTGCTTAAATGATACACGTTTGTACGTATACTGAGTCAGACAGCGCGGCTTCGCGAGCCTGGTTATAATGCAGATTTGATATTGAGAAATATTTTCTTTTGCTATCATTCCTGCCCGTATTCTCGCTTAAAGTAAATTTTGGAAATCAAACACAGATTATTTCTAGCCCTGTCTAGTTGACTTACGTATAATTTCAGTAGACTTGCTTTTGGTAGTTGTTCAGAGAGCATTTCGATTTGTTCCATGCTTGGTGCTAACCCTGCTGCCTGGTTGAAAACAAGAAAGGACACACAAAACAATTAGCATGTTCTATGTAGATTTTACGTAAACTAGGCACAATTAAACTCATCTTTCGTGTTAAGTCCAAACTTCTCTTGGTGAAATCCCGGTCTATTTCTTATCTGCGTGTCACTTAATTATCTAACGCAACCAAAGGACACTTTCTGAAAAATAAAACATCCACAACACCTGGACTTTCAGTAATGAAGTCCTTCAAGGTTGTTGGTACAGAGACGGTACAGAATCAGTTCAGAGTCAGTACAGGGTCGGTATAGAGCCCAGCGGATAATAAAGTCGGTACAGGGTCGGTACAGAGTCGGTACAGAGTCAGTACAGAGCCTGTAAAGAGCCGATACAGAGTCGGTACAGGGTCGGTACAGCGTCCGTATAGACTCGGTACAGGGTCGGTACAGAGTCGATACAAAGTAGGAACAGAGTCGCTACAGAGTTGAGACAGGGTCGGTACAGGGTCGGTATAGACTCGGTACAGTGTCGATACAGAGTCGGTACAGGTCCCGGCGAGAAAGATGGCCTCTTCATCCTCAAGCTGTCTGAGTTCGGGTTTTGAACGCTATGGACATTTTCCTTACTCCGAGCTCGGGTTTTGCAGCTCGGACAACTCTAGCACAACATCTGGATTAAAAGAAAACTGATTTACCTGAACGTCTTCGATTGGTTCTTTCATCAGCCTTTGAAGAACTATGAAGTCCTGACCACTCAACCTGTTACAAGAGAAAAAAAAAACCCTGAATTTTGGGGTATAACACAGGTTGCCCAAGATCACTAATGACATTAGAAATATATCAAAACCCTGACAAAGTGTTCCGTCAAATTTCCAGATACTCCGAAGTTCGACAACAATGCTCTGCGGCGCGTCGTATTTTCAACTTTCTCCTTGGTATTTGGAAATTCGATGAAAGAAATGCAATGAAATAGTGTGTCTCATCGCGTTTCACGTTTTCAAAGTGTAATATAAAAAAGTATTTGCTGGAAAAAAATTTGAACAGCTTCTTACGCAGTAGCTTCCCCCTCGGGGTGATTTGAGCCATATCTGCCAGCTCGACCAGCGATCTGCTTTACTTGAGAAGAAGTCAGCTGTACAGTGCGGGTTCCATCGTATTTCAACAGAGTACTAAAAACAATCCTTTTAATATTCCTGAAAGAGCAAGCATTAAAAAAACTGATTACCAACTAAAACAACACACTCTTGCAATTCCGTCGATTATTATGCATTTTGTAAATTTACAGTACAGCACTTTTGCATAAAGAAATTCATCACAAAAAAGCGGAACTTATTATCGCGCGCCGCGCTGTGAATACCGTGGAAGCTCTCATAACCCGGGACACCTCCGGAACGCGAAAAAGGTAACAGTAACTGGAGCTAGCCGCTTACGAGAATGGTTCTTATAAGTGACCACTGGAGGTGTAAAGAATGTATGGCCGCTTAACGGAGCTTGCCCAGCTAATAATAAACATTGGCTATACCAAAAAACATATATATTACCGTACTACTGTAAATGAATTTGTTTTATTTCATTCAGTGCCTTGTGCAATACCGCGTTAACTTCGCTGTATACTGCATTACTAGGATTGATCCCTGGTGATTAAAGAACAAGTCCTAATTGCAACCAACGTTAACATTAACAGTCTCACTGTAACAAAGTACAGTGATACAGTTTGCAAATGTTTATGCACTGTAAAATCATTGTGACGAACAGCGATGTGAAGTTGATTGATTATAAATAGTAAGATTCACTGGGATCTCCTTTCGGGTGTCTGTTTACCTGAGCTTACAAAAAAAGAAGAGTCTAGATCGCAAGCCCTCAAAGTGTCCGCGGCCGTTTACCAGAATGTCCGCTTACAGGAATGAGTAAATACAGAGTTTTTATGGAAGTTCAAACGGGTTTTGTGAAGGCGGTCGTAAGTAGCGCTGTCCACAAACCAGAGTGTCCGTTAAGAGAGCTTCCAATGCATTTCACGAAAGCTAAACAACAAATCAAACCCAAGGCTAGAAAGCAGGTGAATTTTTCAGTCAAAATAAGCTGACAGTAACCGTAACTTTTATTAACATACAATTGGGTTACAAGCCTTAGTAGCTCACAGCTAGGAAAGCTATTCTGGGCGAGCTACGATTTATTAGCTAGTTTAGTTAAAAGAGAGAATAAGACAAAAACGGTAATTAAAGAAATTTGAGCAATATTCGGTATTTTTCGCAGCACAGCAAAGTCTGCACAACGAATCTGCACCTGATGCTAAAGAATCTAGATCAGCTGTTTATATGACTTACAAGTTTAGCCCCATTCCAATAGCGTCCGATGCCACAAGGACAGAACACTTGTCTGAAGGATCATTGAACTTGTACGCCTGCTCCATTTTAGTGGCTGAAACAAGACAACAGTCATAAGTTTTCTGATTAGTGTTTCCTTGGAAATTGTGCCAGGTTAAGTTCCACACTAAGTTTCAAATTAGCGTTTAATGAATTCAGAAGAGTCCACAAGTCAGGCAAGGAGTGTAATATGTTATTACCCATTCATACCCCCTCAATGGATTTTTCCCACTGCCCCCCTCCCCCCTGACATCCAGTTCAGCTCCACACTTTCTTTAAAAACATTGGCTTTTCACACTTTCCACCCCTCACATTTCCAATGACTATTCATGGGGTGGGTATGGATTTTTCCTGAACCTGCTGAATATTGGCTTCCATCTCTTTCTGTGTGTTTATAGACCTAGACCAGGTGTCAGTCCATAAACACACACACAAAAACTTGGCCAATATCTACCTCACCTCATGCTTGGTCAATAACTCATAATGCTAAATATTTAAAGGAACTCAGTCACGGTATTTTGAGTTACTTTGGACGCGTACAAACCTACCTTAAATTGAAGGAAACCTGAAAATAATAGTTTACTAAGATAGAAAAACATCAAAGAGATGTTAGAACAAACCATAAAAGAACAAGGATGATTAAAGACGGAGAAGATTGACGCGGATTACAAACGACGCCCTTTAAAAATTTGGGCCAAAATTTTAAGATGCACAAACCGCGATGTAGCCCCTCTAAAACGTAGATGTATGCAGACCAACGTTTCCTCACCTGGTGGAAGACCTCCATAAATAATGGCACACTTCTGTTTACTGTCCTTTTCAATCTCCCTTCTAACTTGATACAAATCACGCTGGGAAAATGCCACAACACAATCTCCTGGCTTGATCTTTTTAAAACTTCCGCCTTCAAAAACAAACCAATTATTGGTAATAATTACACTCAGATAAAATATTAATCCTGACAATAGCAGAAATGTCAAAATGGTGTAAATTAATAGCTTTTGGTATGAATCTGATAGCGTTCTTTCATGGATGCCGTTCTCTCAATATTTTTCTTATTTTCTTATTGTTCACTATCTATTCTGTTGTAGATAGTGAGTAGCCTGGCAGTGTGCGGTTGTTAAAAAAATCACGGCCGCTTCTTTGCTTTTCCGAAGTGTCTGTGAAGAGGATTTAGATAAAGTTTTGAACGACTAGTCAGTTTACACTGAAACAATTAGATTATTTGCTCTCGATTTCTATGCGTGATAGAAATCTCGAGTTCACGATCTTATTGCTAGATATTACTTTTTGTTTAAACGATTTCTTTGGCTTATTTTACACTACCCATCATATTTTTGGGCCCTGTACATGCTGAAGGCTAACACCAGGGGCTAACACCCCAGAATCAGACTGGCTTTAAATCTTATGTAACTATTAACACTTTGTGATGATGGAGGTTATTATAGTACTTACCAAGACTATTTTGGCTGATATCCAGAGGAGAAAGTCTGTCATAATGGTGAACCTGTTGTTAAAAGTATGGTTTATTGTTGAGCACCACCTACATGTACTAGTAAAATACCTTACCGGAGGGATTCAATTTAGTGCCCTTCTTTCAATAAGCAACACCTTTCTGATCAGTGTCACGTTGAGTGCATTATATATACATGTTATAAGTGCACCTAACATATTCCATAAGCACCCACTTCTATAAATTCACCTCGTTGAAAAAGTAAGATTCAACATAGCACTGACTGATCAGACAAATAAATCACAAGTAAAGCCTGGTTTCTCATCTGAACATAATATCCCAGCTGAACATAACGAAGTAAAGGTGTTATGACTACGGGAGCCCCTAGTATGAGCATTAAGTTAAAGAATCTGTTGTAAGTTGTTTATTAAATTGCTTAGTCACATTCATATTTTTGATGTCAAAAAAGAAATGAGTGCCCCAACCCTAAGCTCCTGCACCAATAAGCACCCTCCCCTGATTATCATGAGTTAATACATGTAAGAGAACATAACTGAAATTTTGTGTCCCAGGTGCCAAATTGAATCATCATCATTTAAGAGTAAAAGCATGACTGTACAGTGACTGTGTTTCTATCAAGTTAGAGAAACACAAATGGATGTTTGGGAGAACGAGAAATGCTATGGGACCACAAGCCAACAGGTAAGTGTTTTCACAACTTTTTCAAGTTCTCCCAAACTTTAACCAGTGTTCCTATAACTTGATAGAAACATGGAAAACATGTTTTCTATTTCTTGTAGAAAACACTGCAATGAAAAAAAAAAAAAAAAAAAAGACAACAACTTGTGTACTTTGATCATCAAAATGCAAATTCTCTTTGCTCATGCCATCATTAAGTCACGAGCTTGCTCTGTGTTCCTATCAAGTTACAGAAACATGATTTTTAACCAATCAGCATGCATATTTTCTTAGGGCTGTTTTCTAAATTTATGGTATAATTCACCAAATTAACTGCTGTCCAATGGCATGAAGTAAAAGAAAACCAAAATCCCTGTGATTCCACATCAATTAAATGCACATTTGCCACTTGTGAAAACATCACTTAGATTCAATCATGTTTTCATGATAATATTTCTGCATCCATCAGAAAGTAATAATTATAGATTTGTGGATTATGTATGAGTCCACATGTAGCTGCATCACACTTACAACTTATTTGCTACAAATAAGCTTTCCCAGCGACAAAAATATATACAACAGTATATATTTATTACCTCCATTTCATCATTGCAAGAGGACACTATTCTTTTTACAATATTTATAGCAGAGCTTTCTCCACAAAGGTGAATTTCCAAGCATGGAAGACCTGTTCGAAAGACAGTGTACCAAATAACACCATGTATTAATTTCCTGACAGCCTGTCATAATCAGTAATCAATAAAAACAATGTTTAGCATTACTCAAACATTTTGTCATAGTGTCTCTCTAATTTCAGTTTTAAAAGCATTTACTGCAATTTGAAAGCAACCAACCCCCCGTTGGGCTATTCATCAGGGTTTTTGAGATAGGCCAGTCCAAATTGAGGTTGTACTTCCATTTTCATAGGAGTTATGGCTACCAGCAAAAATCACCATCTTATCTACTCCATGATCTCAGCCAGTTACTCTGCTTCAAGCTGTTTGTCTGATTTGTTAGAAAAATATGGGAACATGAGCTGCCTATTCAGACAATAAGTGGAGACATCTACTGTACAGTATGAAGTGGCCTAATTGTTACCAGCTGCCTGTTCGGACAATAAGTGGAGACATTGACTGTACAGTATATAGTGACCTAATTGTTATCAGCTGCCTATTCAGACAATAAGTGGAGACATCTTCTGTACAGTATATAGTGACCTAATTGTTAGCGCTCAACTCTGGATTGAGTGGTCTGGGTTTGTGCCATGGTTGGTGCCATTGCATTGTGCTCTTGGGCAAGACACTTTACTCTCACAGTGCCTCTAACCAACTCCACCCAGGTGTATATTAAAAGGGTATCTGCCAATTTAATGCTGGGCAGTAACCCTGCAATGGACCAGAATCCCATCCGGGGAAGAGTAAAAATCCTTCTAGGCAATTAATGCTGTGAAAACCAGGATAAGCTCCAACAGTATGGACCACTTGGCAGACTTACTCCAACTATAAGGTGGCCTTTTGACTTATTTTAATATCAAAAACTTTGTGACAACCCTGTTTGATGTGGAAGACAACACTTTGTATGATAACCCAAAACATGTGTGATCAGCACTAGTTCAGTAGAACATACACAACCTTGGTCATGAGCAAGATCAACAATATTACTGCTGTGATATGTAAACAAATTTCTCCCAACAAATACAACAAGAACTGAATGGTGACTAGAAAGGAGAATTTGTTTCTTGTAAAGAAGCATAGGAACTCACCTAGAAGAGCACGGGACCATGCCCAGCCTCTGTCACTGTCTTTTATCATCTGAATTTCATCTATTACTGCACAGTCATCTAATTAGGATTATCCAACACTGTTACTAGTTTGAAGTTATATCATGGTTGATATAATATTAATTACAAGTATATGGCTTATAATTTATTATATCTGGGAACTACTGAATTCACAGGTTTGATTGGCTGCAGAAATTGATATTGGCCACAGTCTACATGTATTTTCTCATCTAGGCCAGCATCTGCAAGTGCAAGATTAATTACATTGCAATCAAATGGTTAAATTTAAGTGTTGCAACAGTATTATGATATTATTTGATGTTTACCTTCACTTTTACCAAAATAAAGGAGATTAACTTTTGGCTAAGGGAAACAAAAATTAGTTCAAGATAGTCACACACACACACATAAGTGCTGACCTCAAAACAACAAAATTTGAAATAGCCAACAGTAAATTCATGACTGAAAAAATAAGCCTTCAGGGCAAATCTACTGGTATGGGTAAAACTGGGGAATATACCAGTGATATTTAACAATTTCAAAAACGATGCGTGCTGTAAAAAATGTTGGAAGGATAATAAACACAACAACTTCCACTTGGAGCAAGAATATGCTTGGATATTTGTCCTTGGACATTACATGTATCTGTTCTTCAAAGCTCATCAAAGTTCCCCAAAGCGATCAAAACGATCAGAAACTGTTTGCTTCTCGGTATAGATGATGTCTGCGGACAAATATCTGAGCATATTTTTGTGCCAAATGGAGGCCATTGTTTATATCTTGCTATTTCTTAAACATACAACGTTACATACAAGGTGTTCTAGTAGAGCACATCTCAACAGTACAAGCAATGTGATTGGCTGGTTGATCTGGTGATACTGCCCATTGCCGTTCCTCACCAGTGACTAAGTCACAAGGCACTCCCTTTAGGAATGATACAAAAAAAATCCATTAATCGTAATAACAAAAGCAAGGGCTCTTCAATAAAAAAATATTTCATTTTGTTAATTTAGCGAATAGATTCAGAAGTTAGCTTTTTCAATCAGTAGTCTCAAAAAGTTATTCAAAAGCCCTCCCTCCCCTCCCAGCCTCTACAAGCCAAGGAAATTACAGCAAAAAAATAATTAAGTGTAAAGATGAGAGAAGATTATATCAAAAATTGTCTTCAGAGGCAAATTATATTCCACAGGCACTTCTCATTCAACCAACAATTCTGAAATTTTTGAAATGGTAGCAATAAATTGTATTGNACGCGGATTACAAACGACGCCCTTTAAAAATTTGGGCCAAAATTTTAAGATGCACAAACCGCGATGTAGCCCCTCTAAAACGTAGATGTATGCAGACCAACGTTTCCTCACCTGGTGGAAGACCTCCATAAATAATGGCACACTTCTGTTTACTGTCCTTTTCAATCTCCCTTCTAACTTGATACAAATCACGCTGGGAAAATGCCACAACACAATCTCCTGGCTTGATCTTTTTAAAACTTCCGCCTTCAAAAACAAACCAATTATTGGTAATAATTACACTCAGATAAAATATTAATCCTGACAATAGCAGAAATGTCAAAATGGTGTAAATTAATAGCTTTTGGTATGAATCTGATAGCGTTCTTTCATGGATGCCGTTCTCTCAATATTTTTCTTATTTTCTTATTGTTCACTATCTATTCTGTTGTAGATAGTGAGTAGCCTGGCAGTGTGCGGTTGTTAAAAAAATCACGGCCGCTTCTTTGCTTTTCCGAAGTGTCTGTGAAGAGGATTTAGATAAAGTTTTGAACGACTAGTCAGTTTACACTGAAACAATTAGATTATTTGCTCTCGATTTCTATGCGTGATAGAAATCTCGAGTTCACGATCTTATTGCTAGATATTACTTTTTGTTTAAACGATTTCTTTGGCTTATTTTACACTACCCATCATATTTTTGGGCCCTGTACATGCTGAAGGCTAACACCAGGGGCTAACACCCCAGAATCAGACTGGCTTTAAATCTTATGTAACTATTAACACTTTGTGATGATGGAGGTTATTATAGTACTTACCAAGACTATTTTGGCTGATATCCAGAGGAGAAAGTCTGTCATAATGGTGAACCTGTTGTTAAAAGTATGGTTTATTGTTGAGCACCACCTACATGTACTAGTAAAATACCTTACCGGAGGGATTCAATTTAGTGCCCTTCTTTCAATAAGCAACACCTTTCTGATCAGTGTCACGTTGAGTGCATTATATATACATGTTATAAGTGCACCTAACATATTCCATAAGCACCCACTTCTATAAATTCACCTCGTTGAAAAAGTAAGATTCAACATAGCACTGACTGATCAGACAAATAAATCACAAGTAAAGCCTGGTTTCTCATCTGAACATAATATCCCAGCTGAACATAACGAAGTAAAGGTGTTATGACTACGGGAGCCCCTAGTATGAGCATTAAGTTAAAGAATCTGTTGTAAGTTGTTTATTAAATTGCTTAGTCACATTCATATTTTTGATGTCAAAAAAGAAATGAGTGCCCCAACCCTAAGCTCCTGCACCAATAAGCACCCTCCCCTGATTATCATGAGTTAATACATGTAAGAGAACATAACTGAAATTTTGTGTCCCAGGTGCCAAATTGAATCATCATCATTTAAGAGTAAAAGCATGACTGTACAGTGACTGTGTTTCTATCAAGTTAGAGAAACACAAATGGATGTTTGGGAGAACGAGAAATGCTATGGGACCACAAGCCAACAGGTAAGTGTTTTCACAACTTTTTCAAGTTCTCCCAAACTTTAACCAGTGTTCCTATAACTTGATAGAAACATGGAAAACATGTTTTCTATTTCTTGTAGAAAACACTGCAATGAAAAAAAAAAAAAAAAAAAAGACAACAACTTGTGTACTTTGATCATCAAAATGCAAATTCTCTTTGCTCATGCCATCATTAAGTCACGAGCTTGCTCTGTGTTCCTATCAAGTTACAGAAACATGATTTTTAACCAATCAGCATGCATATTTTCTTAGGGCTGTTTTCTAAATTTATGGTATAATTCACCAAATTAACTGCTGTCCAATGGCATGAAGTAAAAGAAAACCAAAATCCCTGTGATTCCACATCAATTAAATGCACATTTGCCACTTGTGAAAACATCACTTAGATTCAATCATGTTTTCATGATAATATTTCTGCATCCATCAGAAAGTAATAATTATAGATTTGTGGATTATGTATGAGTCCACATGTAGCTGCATCACACTTACAACTTATTTGCTACAAATAAGCTTTCCCAGCGACAAAAATATATACAACAGTATATATTTATTACCTCCATTTCATCATTGCAAGAGGACACTATTCTTTTTACAATATTTATAGCAGAGCTTTCTCCACAAAGGTGAATTTCCAAGCATGGAAGACCTGTTCGAAAGACAGTGTACCAAATAACACCATGTATTAATTTCCTGACAGCCTGTCATAATCAGTAATCAATAAAAACAATGTTTAGCATTACTCAAACATTTTGTCATAGTGTCTCTCTAATTTCAGTTTTAAAAGCATTTACTGCAATTTGAAAGCAACCAACCCCCCGTTGGGCTATTCATCAGGGTTTTTGAGATAGGCCAGTCCAAATTGAGGTTGTACTTCCATTTTCATAGGAGTTATGGCTACCAGCAAAAATCACCATCTTATCTACTCCATGATCTCAGCCAGTTACTCTGCTTCAAGCTGTTTGTCTGATTTGTTAGAAAAATATGGGAACATGAGCTGCCTATTCAGACAATAAGTGGAGACATCTACTGTACAGTATGAAGTGGCCTAATTGTTACCAGCTGCCTGTTCGGACAATAAGTGGAGACATTGACTGTACAGTATATAGTGACCTAATTGTTATCAGCTGCCTATTCAGACAATAAGTGGAGACATCTACTGTACAGTATATAGTGACCTAATTGTTAGCGCTCAACTCTGGATTGAGTGGTCTGGGTTTGTGCCATGGTTGGTGCCATTGCATTGTGCTCTTGGGCAAGACACTTTACTCTCACAGTGCCTCTAACCAACTCCACCCAGGTGTATATTAAAAGGGTATCTGCCAATTTAATGCTGGGCAGTAACCCTGCAATGGACCAGAATCCCATCCGGGGAAGAGTAAAAATCCTTCTAGGCAATTAATGCTGTGAAAACCAGGATAAGCTCCAACAGTATGGACCACTTGGCAGACTTACTCCAACTATAAGGTGGCCTTTTGACTTATTTTAATATCAAAAACTTTGTGACAACCCTGTTTGATGTGGAAGACAACACTTTGTATGATAACCCAAAACATGTGTGATCAGCACTAGTTCAGTAGAACATACACAACCTTGGTCATGAGCAAGATCAACAATATTACTGCTGTGATATGTAAACAAATTTCTCCCAACAAATACAACAAGAACTGAATGGTGACTAGAAAGGAGAATTTGTTTCTTGTAAAGAAGCATAGGAACTCACCTAGAAGAGCACGGGACCATGCCCAGCCTCTGTCACTGTCTTTTATCATCTGAATTTCATCTATTACTGCACAGTCATCTAATTAGGATTATCCAACACTGTTACTAGTTTGAAGTTATATCATGGTTGATATAATATTAATTACAAGTATATGGCTTATAATTTATTATATCTGGGAACTACTGAATTCACAGGTTTGATTGGCTGCAGAAATTGATATTGGCCACAGTCTACATGTATTTTCTCATCTAGGCCAGCATCTGCAAGTGCAAGATTAATTACATTGCAATCAAATGGTTAAATTTAAGTGTTGCAACAGTATTATGATATTATTTGATGTTTACCTTCACTTTTACCAAAATAAAGGAGATTAACTTTTGGCTAAGGGAAACAAAAATTAGTTCAAGATAGTCACACACACACACATAAGTGCTGACCTCAAAACAACAAAATTTGAAATAGCCAACAGTAAATTCATGACTGAAAAAATAAGCCTTCAGGGCAAATCTACTGGTATGGGTAAAACTGGGGAATATACCAGTGATATTTAACAATTTCAAAAACGATGCGTGCTGTAAAAAATGTTGGAAGGATAATAAACACAACAACTTCCACTTGGAGCAAGAATATGCTTGGATATTTGTCCTTGGACATTACATGTATCTGTTCTTCAAAGCTCATCAAAGTTCCCCAAAGCGATCAAAACGATCAGAAACTGTTTGCTTCTCGGTATAGATGATGTCTGCGGACAAATATCTGAGCATATTTTTGTGCCAAATGGAGGCCATTGTTTATATCTTGCTATTTCTTAAACATACAACGTTACATACAAGGTGTTCTAGTAGAGCACATCTCAACAGTACAAGCAATGTGATTGGCTGGTTGATCTGGTGATACTGCCCATTGCCGTTCCTCACCAGTGACTAAGTCACAAGGCACTCCCTTTAGGAATGATACAAAAAAAATCCATTAATCGTAATAACAAAAGCAAGGGCTCTTCAATAAAAAAATATTTCATTTTGTTAATTTAGCGAATAGATTCAGAAGTTAGCTTTTTCAATCAGTAGTCTCAAAAAGTTATTCAAAAGCCCTCCCTCCCCTCCCAGCCTCTACAAGCCAAGGAAATTACAGCAAAAAAATAATTAAGTGTAAAGATGAGAGAAGATTATATCAAAAATTGTCTTCAGAGGCAAATTATATTCCACAGGCACTTCTCATTCAACCAACAATTCTGAAATTTTTGAAATGGTAGCAATAAATTGTATTGGGGGAGCAGGGATAGCACGGTGGCAAGAGCACTCACCCCCTACTAATGTGGCCCTGGTTTGATTCTGGCCCAGTGCCATAATTATTTGGGTTGAGTTTGTTGTTGGTTCTCGCCTTGATCCGAGGGTTTTTCTCTGGGTTCTCCAATTTTCCTCCCTTCACAAAAACCAACACTCCAAATGCCAGTTTGACCAGGATAAAGGACTTGCATGAAAACCAGCTGAGGCTGACATGGCTTCCTCTCTATGTAATGTTAGTAATTTATTTCATTTTGTTATTTTATATAGAAGTGCATATGCCTACGTATGTGCACAACTTTACTCACAGCATCATTTGTTCTCCTGAATACTTCTGTGGCTAGCAGCCGCAGTGGCCCACAGTACAATCCAGTGTCAGCTTCTCGGAATCTCTCAATAGCTGTGTGGGTCTTACCACTGTTTGTTGGACCAGCATGAAATATAATTTTTCTTTTCATTTCCCTGGCGAATGGGAACCTAGTGTAACACAAAATAATTGGGAAGGTTATAAACAAGTGATCGCATTACAATATTATGATCAGAGAACTGAAGATGCCAGTCAATTGAAGGGTTAGTCTCATTTTTACAACTTGGATATCTGGAGAGAGAGACTACGAGGCAGAGCAATGAAGTGTACGTTGCACAAGAATGCAACACAATGACAAGGGATGTCTGTTTTTACTCATTCTATCATAAACCATTAATTCTACATCCAATAAAGCCCTTGCAGGAAAACAAAGAATAAGACTTGGTATAGCAGAAGCTACAGAGTAGTTGTTTCCTTTCTAAACGTGTAAGAGGTAAAAAACAAAAAAACTTGGACAGAGAGAGCAAAAAAATAAATAAATAAATAAATAAACTAAATGAGCAGAAGAAGAGGGGGGGGGGAGAGAATGGAGGGAAATTCACTCCTCAAGCTTTCACACACCCCTCCCACTCTCACAAGGATCAGCTGCAATGCACTCTAAATAGAAGGTAACAACTAACTTTTTAGTCATTAATTAAATAAATAGAGTAATAAAAACTGATCACTGAACCAAAGAGAAGTTACTCACAGATCAGCAGGACCACGCAAGTCTGATATCTTTTTCACCTCATCAATGCAGTTTAGCATAGGATGTGCTTGTCTTGCATACCCCAGAAATAAAGGAAAAAGATTTGCCACACAGTCTGTAGATCATAAAACTGTCAACGTGAATTCAGACTACCGGTATCACATATTTACCATCATTTTTAAAGACAACTAAGTGTAAGTTTCACAAAATCTAACCGAACATTATTCTGCAAGAAATGGAAGCGCATGCTGCAGTGATCGGCAGGGCTGTAGACAATTTTGTTGCACATAATCAAATGCTTTATATGCTTGATGCTTTGTTTAGAGGTTTTATTTAACATTCAATTTAGTTCAATGACCACGCCGGTATGGTGACTTTTAGCATTTGTATTTTCTGCACCTACATTTTCCACTCTTTTGTGTATTTCATGGTTGGAAATGCAATCAACACACAAAAAAAGCCTCTGTAGCTGTGCGACCACACTTAACATGCGACCATGCTCAACACGGAACAAAATGTCCAAAATTACATGTACCTACGGCTTACAGAGACATCATTGTATAGTAATATAGGTAAAATAACAAAACTAGATAATGTTGGCATAACCATCGCATGTACTCACCAGATTTATAATAAGATGTACTAAATGCTTGCAACATTCCCCCGTTGCCTTTCCTTATCTGTAGAAGAAGTTTCTTTCTAAACTGTAGAAATATCTTCTCAAATAAAACGTCTAGTGACAAGATAAAGAAAACATCCAATTTTGTAAAAAGCAATCATAATTATTGATAAATAACCTCCAACATTCATGTTGTATTTATGAACACAAGAATTCAAAATTGTGATATACATGTATCGTTATAATTATAGACTAGAAAATAGCCCAAAGAAAATATGTGCGCTGGCTGGTTTAAAATCATGTTTCCATAACTTGATAGAAATACAGGACTAGCACGAGCTTTTGACGTAATGATGGCACAAGCAAAGAGAATTTTTTTTTTTTTGGTCACAGAATTTCCCAAAAATTCTGTGGAAGTTTGAGGGAACTTGAAAAAGCTGTGGAAACACTCATCTGTTGGCTCCTGTTCCCACAGCGTTTCTCATTCTCCTAAACTTCCCCTTGTGTTTCTATAACTCAATAGAAACACAGTGCATGTTTTCCATTTCTTAAATGTAAAACTAAAAGATCAAAATGAGACTTCTTACCATTTATACCATGTTGATGGGCAGCTTTTTTTATTCGCCTGTCTCCAAAGAAGCCATTCAGAAAAGTATCTACCTTTTCTGTTGGAAACAAAAATCACAGATTTCCTTGACTTAGTCAACTGAATCACCTGATGTACATGCAAGGAAAACATAAGAAACTAACTCTCCAAAATCTGTCCATTATCCTTGGATAAGGGCTTTAGATAGTTGATAAACGTCACTACTAGCTGACCAGTAGAATCCTTTAGAAAACAGTCCAGTGAACCAGTGTATATGACCGAACTGATTTGGCACAAAAAACGCTTATTTTAAAAGATTGTAATTAACACACATGTCAACTATTAAATTTGGTCAGAGAAGACATTTTCACATAGATTGACTGCAAGTGAGTGATGAAAACTTTCCAAAGATCATTGATGATCTGCATTAGGATCTTTGTAAAACTTCATGAAAGTCTTCCAGGGTCATCACTCAGATTCTCAAAGATCTTGTAGGATCTCAAATCCTGGCAAAGATCCTGCAAAGACTTTTGAAGATCTAACAGGATCCTTCAAGTCCAAGTGTTTTTTTTTTTGTTTGTTTCTTTGATTTTTTCAGGATCTTTGCAGGGATCAAGTCAAATTAAATCTATTCTAATCAAACACTACTATGTCACACCATTATCAATTAAATTCATCAAGCAAGTGATTTCTCTGGAACCCTGTCTGCAAAGCTGTCAACAGTCAAACCCAACGAGTGAAAATTCCCACTTTATTAGATTTATGAAATACCTATAGTGTAAATAATCAAGACAAATTGAAGGAGAAAGCATCTACCAGGGTCTCTATCTGAAACCTCTTCTGAGAGGCCACACCCTCAGACTCCATAGCAGAGATCTATTACCATAGTGTTTTTTTTCTCCAAGCCATCAGTGGGGCAAGTATGCCAGATGACATCCTTGCCCTGGCAAAATTTTACTTGCCCATTCAATAGTGAGAATGGCAACTGAACAACATGTAAATGGAAAGTTTGCTTCTTAATCCTTTTCACATGACCAGTGTCCCAGAATGTCATATCCCTAGTTGCCGCAGTCGGTGGACACAGAAAATCCAGGTACAAAATAAAACCATGGGCTTTTCGAGAGCCATAAAGGCTGAAAGGAACCCTTTTGGCCTTTCTGATCTTACAGTCAAACCTCTATTAAGCAGCCCCCTATTAAGCAGCCCCCTATTAAGCAGCCCCCTATTAAGCAGCCAACCTTTATTGTGCCAGCAGCCAAAGTCCCAGAAAAATTGTCAGCTATACACTGTAATAAAACTCTTGATCCCATGTCCACCTCTACTAAGTGGCCACAGCCAGCTTCTTGCCGTCCCAAGGGTGATTTTGTTTTGTTTTGTGTCTCGCTGGGCATTTTCAGTCAGATGAAGGTAAAAGAATGATAATGTGGAATACGGTAAAAACACATTTTCAGCAGTATTTGATTAAAACAATCTCAAAACAAAGTCTTAACACATTTTAGTTTGTTTGTACAGCACACAAGCCAGTGTTGGGTTGACAGACAAGTCGCATCTGTACACATAATAATTGTTTCTTTAGCTTTTGTTAATGTTATGGACTGTATTATAACCATCATTGTTCTACTTTTTCTCCACTTGCATTTGTTTGTACTTATATTTGATAAACTGAAAATTGGACCACGCCCAATGTTGTTTTCAGGTGAGCAACTATTAAACAGCCACCTCTATTTAGCGGCCAGTTGTCTCGTCCCCAAGATGTGGCCACTTAATAGAGGTTCGACTGTATTTGGCTTGCTTTTCTGAAGTGTTAACATTACTAAACACCATACATCCTGATCAAAAAAGGTGATGCAATCATGCGATGTGTTTTCGCAGATGCATATGCAGTACAGAGCATTAGCGGTTGACAAAATGAAAATTGAGCCTGCACTGATTTTGTTCATGGAGAATATCACATCATCCAAGATAGCAGACCAAAATGATGATTTTGATAAATGAATAAAGATGGTGAAGTTTTGACAATGATTTTATCGCAAATGAAAGCTGCAAAAGTTCCAAATGGATGACAAGTGGTCAGAATGTTTCTTTTTTTCTGGTAGAGTCAAACTAAGCTTGTCCAGTGAACAGTTTTTTGTATTGTTTTGGTCATGATCTTATGATTTTTTAGATGTCTCGGACGACCAGATGACTGTGACTGTGGATCCCTTCCATAGAAGTGACCATAATTTAGGGGCCGGTTGGCCAGACCTTCAACTTCTCAAAAAGCTGATGTGTGAAAGCTGGCTATTCACCCAAATGGAAATCCCTTTGGGGTACCTAGCGGCATGGAATGCAAGGCGGTCATTTCTTGTCTTGGGGTACAACAGGCACATGGACACCTAGGTGGACAATGAACCAAAACATGTTCCTTAGTTTAGCTCCTCCTTGTGCCCCAGGTTTTCGTGTATCGCTTGCACTTGTAGAAAGGAAATGACTGCTATGCACTGTCGCTACATTTTATAGTCATTATCCACCTTCCTAGGTTATTAATACGATTAAAGTTCAACCACCATATTTCTACCTGTTTTGATAAATTTGAAGGATGAAGGATTTCAGGGTTTTGAAATGCATTAACAAACCTGCTGTGAGAGTAACTGGTGCCTGGGAAGAACTTTCTTTCCTGGACATAGTCCTTGTAGATGAAGTCTGCGTATCGCTCAAAGTGGAACGTTCCACTGTACAAGTTGTTAAAGATTCAGTAATTCTGGTATTTTCAGTGGCCGTATCCACTGTAACTTCGGAAGTTTCACGGTATTGCGTAGTTACATCTTCGCTGACTGACGATTCATTTAAAGTCGTGTTTCCTTCAAGCATCTCACTTTCAATAAGTTTTTCCCCTTCTATACTCGTACTATGTTGTGCAACGACTTCTTCTTGTAATAAACTCCTCGAGCAATGTACACCTGATTTATGCAAGCTCACATTAAATCGCCTTTCCAGACACTTTTGATATGGACAAAGTAAAGAGTGCTTGCTCCATATCGAGAAATGTTTGGTAATACCAGCGCAACTTGCTGCGAGCAAAGAACTCCGAGTTGAATCGAAAAGTGATGTAAGCTTAAGCTCGCGTGCACATGTTGGACGAATAAAGTTTTTCCAAATTGTAATATTTCGTTGACCAAAATGACGACAGAATCCGGGATGCAAGTGATTCCTGGAGTAAGTATTAATCAAACTGTAGAGTGCCATCTCTTCCTTGATTTACTGAAAACGATGAACTTTCTATTATCTACGTCTTTTCCTCTGTACAACAAATCCGGCGGCCGCCATGTTGACAAAGAGGTCGTGAGGGACTAGGCTATAATCCTAGTGCTCAGACCCGCGCGTCTACCGAGAACAAGTCTGCTAAGAGTCTGCTAAGTATTTCTGCTAAGCGCTTCTTTTCAATCAAGAAATGTGGTAGGAAAGTTCATTTCAGATCTAGAATTAGTATTACTCGGGATAGCTGTCATAATGGTTTTTCATATTAAAGCGCAGCAGTAGCTGTGTGGTCTGAAAAGGGGCAAAATATCGGAAAGACTGAACAGTTTCATCCTGATTGTTGGAAAATAGACTTCTCCTACTGAATAGACAACTGACACTATTTCTGTGGCTCGTTAAAAACTACATCTATCTTGTTACAAAAACGTCAAAACAGTTCATATTCAAGATACCACGTTTTTTCGTTTTGTTTTTCGTTTTATTCTGTTTCTCTTTAATGCTGTACGCACATCATTCCTGTAAATTGGTTATCCTTAACAGGCCCGGATCTAGAATAAACATTGAGCCGAAACATTGAGGGACCATGCTCCTCAGGAAATGATTTAGATTTTTTAACCCCTTAAAGTGCCCTTTCCTGGGTTTCTGAGTCATTCTGAAAAATCTGACTGATTTCCGTAAAACGGTGGAAACCGGTATGGAACCGCGCCTGAGTTAAAAACAAAGAAAGTTGTTAAAATTCCCCAATTTAAACTTGTTTACTTCAACAGAAATCTAGATTTCGCAAATTCAACCAATACCTGTGACATCTGAATTAGCCAATCAGCATTCTACGGCGGGAAACATCTTCCATTGTCATGACGTCACCATACTCTGAGACCCAGTGCAGTTAGTAGAGGCGGGACTAAAATCAGATTCTTTCAGTATGAACGAAAATATAAGTGATTGCTCTCGCGTGATTTTACTTATATCAACTTCTTGTAATTTACATAGCGCCTTGGAAGGAAGTGCTTCTAGTTATTGGATGCCTGAATGACGTAAATAGAGGAGAGTTCGAGAATGTAAGGAACGTGCTCAGCAGCTAGAAATAGGAAGAAAAAGAAATACAGTGAAAGGGGCTTGCTTTTGTACCTTTTATTTGGCTTTTCTTTAATTAAGCCATAGCCTGAACATCAGGTTTTTCGAAAGTAAGGGGAGAGGGGGAGATGGGCCTGATACTCAGACCAGTTGGGCTGTAAAGCGACTTCAGCACGTTTAGCATTTCTGTTTACCTCTGTTTGGCCTAAACCATAAAATACACATAGGAAGCGAGGAAAGGCGTTTTTACTGCATTTCGTTTTTTCCATATTTCTAGCTCCTAAATGGTCCTAAATACGTTCGTCACAATCCGATAAAAAGTCTCATGTTTTAGTTGTTTTTTAATATCGTATAACAAGGCGCTCACAATGCAGTTGGGAATCCTGAGGTGACAAAATCATTAATTATTATTCTTATTAATAAAACTTATTTGAAAGAACAATAGAAAAACGTTTCTTTGCTGCTTGGGAGGAATAAACACTGTCCTTGCAGAAGTTTCTTAGCTCATTTGCTTGATGTTGGTCTGCATAGAGTCCTCTATTGATGGGGTATTATTCCTGCACACCAAAAGGACAAAGAATTCCAAAAGCAAATGACACGTTATCCCCAATTAGCATAAACGGTGCCCACTCGTGAACCTTGATGAAGGAGGTCTCTCTCATCCACTTCATGGCCTCATGAAGACACTTACTGACACTTATCCCGCGAACAAGGTGCTCGTAAAAGCGACTCATCAACTGCTCTGTTTCACTGTACTCCAGAGCCAACAGTGCCACCAACACTGAGCGTGCACCGGATCCTAAACACGCACGAGCGATTCCAACAACTCCCTCTGTGACAACAGCTTAGAACCACCAGTTTAGCTCGCACTTGAACTTCTGAAATGTCAGACATTTTCAAAAGATAGTCGTCTTCTTGTGGAATTCTGGTAGTAATGCCTGCAGGAGCAAGAGCAATTTCTCCTCTTTCACGGCATTACCATGTGCGGCAATATGTGTCTGACTCACTGAATTTATCCTCTCAAGTACCGCTTGCTTCGTTTCATGCTGTCCTATCAAAGGCTCGACGCCCAGCATTCTTCCAATCATCTCTGCTTCCTTTCTTGCACCAGGCAGTGCTACGAACTTTTTATTGACACATTCCCTGTAAATCACCACGCCAATGTCAGGATCACCCACTACCAGAGCACCAGTCTGACTGTGATAGTCTGCAGGACGGTCCTGTATGAGCTTCAGAGTTGTCAAAGAAGGAGCAACCCGGATTCTGAAAGTCTCTGATAAGTACTTTCCACTGTCATTAAGTAAAGTTGGAAATGGAACACGGTGCAAGCCGCGATCAGGAACAATGATGACTTCACGCTCGTCAAGTAAGTCGGATACTGGACTGATAAGTATTTCGTAGAACAACCGCAGACTCGTTTCGGGATCATCCACATCACTTCCTTGACTAAAACGTTCAAGACTCTCTTCCTGACAAGATTCGAGTTTCGGCTCAATTTCATTTAAAGATCGATCTTCGCAAACCTCGTCAGGTAAAATACCAAAGCTGCGGAAGCTTTCAGCCATGATAGCAAAAAATTCATCCAAATTTCTACCAACTTTTGCTAATCTAGTGTGAAGAGTCTTTTTATCCACTTCAATATTTAGGAAGTAAATGGCTCCGCTTGACCTGAGAATCCACAGAAACAATTTTTCAGCGTCATAAGAAATGCATAGACACGTGCAGAGGTTTTCCTTCTTCGTGACATTATCAATGTCAATCCATGATTGCGGGTCAGCTGACTATGCATTTCAGTAGAATACTGAGTTGCCATCAAGTCTGCTAGGGCCCTAGCCCGTCCCAGTTCTGCAGTATAAAGAGCACTTTTGGGACTTTCAGCGGTAATGAACAATCTACTGAGGACCCTATAAGCAAACGCGTGCGTGTCTCCAATGGATATTTTAATCGGATCGCTGTTTGCATTAAAGCCTCGCAGATTCTCACACTTCTCAATACATGAAACAGGAAGGAAAAGCTTCCTGAAATTTATTTTGGGAAACCTTCACCAGTGTCAGACCACAACAACAGTGAAACTCAAGGTCAGCGTCTCTAACTTCATTTTCACTCATTGAAAGTACAATCTCAAAGTACTTTTCAGCCATGACATATTTACCGAGGCCTGGAAACACGTGTCCCACGCAGACGATGGTAGTTTGCTGCTTCAAATTTTCTTTGAAAAATTTCAGATGAGATCGCTAGAGACTCTTCATAATGTTCTTTGGCTTTCACTTTATCGCCAAGAGAATGAAACAAAACGCCTAGATTTCCATGGCATGATGCTTCGCCTGCTCTGTTGCCAGTTTCAATGCTGGTTGCTGGTGCTTTATCAAGATATTCTTTACACTTTCTATATTCTCCAAGAGATCGAGACACTTCTGCCAGGTTTGCGTAAACTGCTACCTCCATAACTCTGTCAACAGTCTCATTCACTATGATCGTGAGTGCTTTGTTTAAATTCTCTTGAGCATTGTCATATTCACCGAGTGAATAAAATTCTTCCCCTTAATTTGCATAACATGCTACCTCTCCTCCTCTTCTACCGGTTTCCATATGGATCGCAAGTGCTTTCTTAAAAAATTCTTTAGCCTTGACATATTGACCGAGAGATTTAAACATAGTTCCTAGATTTCCATAACTGTTTGCTTCTCCTTCTTTGTCACCAATCTCCGTGCTGATCGCGAGTGATTTTTCCTGATATTCTTT